AAGGTTTTTTTAAAAAAGGGACAGGTTCTAGGATAAGCAAGGTTTAACTGGCTTTTCAAGGTGGGTGAAAGACTGAGGAATGTGGCCTTTGTAAACTGAGGTGCCTCTACTTAATCAGAGCATGGTTAGACTCTTCCGGTGGAGGAAAGAGTGGGAAGCAATGAAGTGCCTTTGCATCTTAGTTTAAGTGAACAACAAAGTCACTGATCTGTACAGTTCAAATTTTTGCACTTCACTGTGTGTGGTACCTCAAAACAAAATAGTACTCACCTAGAAATACAAATAATCTAGTGAAATAGGATAAGAAAATAGAGAAATAGAAAATGCATACCTGTATGTAAATTTTAAAGAACTATATTTTTGTAGCACTTTTAGATATACAGGAAAGTTGCAAAGATAATACAGCATTCCTAAATACCCCATCCAGTTTTTCACTTTGTTAATATCTTACATTACCATAATATATTGGTAAAAACCACAGAACCAGTATCACATTACTAGTAATGAACTCGAGGTTTTATTGGATTTCCACCATTTTTTCACTAATACCCTCTTTTTATTCCAGGATCCAGTACAGGGTACCACATTGCATACGTTAAGTATCCCCATTCTCTCCTGGCGTGACTTTTGACCGCCTTGAGGAGCACTGGCCAGGTGTCCTGTAGAATGACCCTCCTTTTGGATATATTATTTCCCTTTATTGATTAGACTGGGGATAAGGGTTTTGGAAAGATTACTACAGGGATGAAGTGTCCTCATCAAACCAGGTGCATACCATCCACGTGACATTACAGGTGATGTTAACTGTCACTTGGATAAGAGAGTGCCCTCTTTCTCCACTGCTAAGCTACTACTTTTCCCTTTTCATACCACACTCTTTGGAAGCAAGGAAGTCTAGCATACCTTCTAGGGAGAAGGGGGGACTGGGCCCCACTTCCTGGAGGGGGTGGTATCTCTAAATATTATTATATGGGTTTGTCTCTTCTTTATCATTTATTTACCCAATCATTTGCATCAGTATGGTCTTGTATATATTTTTTATATTTGGATTATAATTTAATACATTATATATTTTGTTGCTCAAATTGTTCCAGTTTTGGCCCTTGGGAATTCTTTCCAGTTGGCTCCTCTGTCCCTTTGACGTGTTCTCATTCTTTTGAGCACTTCTTTAATTTCGCGCTGCGCAGTATGCTCTAGTTTCCTTTTGTCTTTTTCCTCCCATAGCCATAAACCAGCCATTTCTGTACAGAGCCCTGGTGGTTCTTACTGGAGAATAGTATTTAGAAACCAAGACCTGAGTGCTAGGCTACATAGAAATTTAGTGTATAAAAAAATGGGGTTTTAATTAGAAGAAATTATGATTTGCTTAATAAATGGTGCTGGCTATCCATATGACAGTCCATCAAAACAGAAGTTAAACTTCCATCTCATTACCATTTGTTAAAAAGTAAAAAAAATTATGCATTTGGTTCTATTAATATACAAGAGACATACAATTAAATTTGTGGATTAAAATCATTTCTAGGGCAAAAATTTAGTTAAAATATATAATGGATGAGTATATACTTTAAGTTTTTTTAAAAAACATTTGAATATGTAGTCTTTCAATCATCTGACTCTGTAACTTTAATCCTCTACTGGTTTATTGATTAAGCAGACATGCCAGTTTGTACATTCAAAGGAAAACAAAATGATCACAGTTATATATTAATAAGTAGACCCCTAGGAAAGGTATCAGATGTTCCTTAAGCAAAGCATCTATTTCTCTTTCAGAAATTCTCTTTAATCTAGTGTACAGTATGTTATTAGAACTTTTGGTCACTAGAGGGTGCTGGTGACCAAAATTCAGAAATTCATACTGTTTCTGCTGGAATGTCAAAAAGTGCCACAAGCTGCCGCCTGGCAGCTGGTTGATTGGAGTGTCATCTCCTGCCCTAGAAGGTTGTGGATTCAGTTTCCAGTTGGTCCCTGGAAGGGACATGAAAGGGAAGCAGCAGATGGATGTTTCTCTCTCTCTAAAATCAATAATTTTTAAAAAGTGCCAAATAGAATCCAACTTTTGCAAAACACTGAAAGAAGGAAAGTGTTGCAGGAAAGATCTGAAATGCAGCATGCTGGGTGCATTAGTGCAGAGGTGAGTAAAAGGGGTTAACATTAATTCTTGGATACTACATGGCCCAATGTTTGTTCCTATTATATGAAGTCCAATTCGCTACAGTAAGCACTGCAATGGAAAAGTTGAAAAAAAATGATGATTTCACATTTTTATTTTTAAAAGAACTTCAAATTTTATTTTTCAGTTACAGCTTACATTCAACATTATTTTGTATTAGTTTCAGGTATACAACATAGTGGTTAGACAATCATACTTTACAAAGTGTTCCCTCCAATATTTTAACTATCAATTTGTACTTTTTAATCCCTTTATTTCTTTCACCCAGTCCCCCAACCCTCTCCCCTCTGGCAACCACCAGTCCAGTGTGCCTATGAGTCTGTTTCAGTTTTGTGTGTTCATTGAGAAAGTAAAATTTTAAAGAAGTCAGATATTCATAAATAAAATTAAAATAATTCAGCTTTGCTTTCTTAGCTGTATGAATCATGAAAATTTCTTAAATTTTTAAATAAAATATATAATTACACTAGAAATTTACTGCTGAAAAATTATAGTATGTACTTTCTTTGGATAAAGTGTATATAAGAATGCCATCAAATATTTTACTTTTCAAATAGGTCTAGAAAGATACTTTCCCAATTTTGGGGTTAAGATTAACTCAAACTAATAAGACAAAAGTTTAGGGAACATTTAAAAAGCAAACCACTGTTTCTTCCTCACTATTGTTCTCATTAGAAACATGACATTTAAAAAGAAATAAAATTGAAAAGTGCAAGAAAAATGACAGCAAAATACAAATTAAAATGAAATCAGTAATGGGATTAATACATGTTAAAATTGAGTTTAAATTACATTTGGCCTTTTCTCCTTTAAAAATTATAACGCCTTATAAAGGTCTTTTTTCAAATTCATACAGAATCAAAATAGCATTGAAAGAAAGAATGCAGGAGAACACACTACATTTTCACCTTCTACCACTCATTTGCATTCCAAAAGGATACCAGCTAAACTAGAAGAGATAAATGAGCTGACATGACCAGCTCCAAAAGTCAATCTGAAGTCTGAGTAATGGTCTTCCTAGTACTATATGATTAGGTCGAATTTCTTAAATATGAGGGAGAATGAAGTTTGTAAATAATTTTTAAAATCTTTTCATTTCCTGGACCATGGGAACAGACAAAAACCAACAACAACAAACAAAGCCACAAACAAAAACAGGCCCTTTCTTGATATGGCAAGAACTGTTCTTACCATGGCTTTTCACCTGCTGAGCGTTGATGGCATCCCTGCGAGGAGCACTGTGCCTCTCCTAAGAACAGAGACCGCAACTGCTGAAAGACCTGGGGCATATCTTTTAACTTCATGGAGCTTCAGTTACCTCCCCATAAAAAAGGGAGTAATAATAGCGATGGGACCTTGGAGGATCTCTGATAAAATGGGAAAATACTTGTGAAAACACGTAAAATATTGTTTTAAAAGATGTTACTAGGCAATTGTAGCCATTTTACTAAAGGGGAAGGCCTTCCTAACATCTAAATACGGTTTCCAGGCTTAATTCAGAAGAACGGGCAAGGGGTGGAGAGCGGGGGGCAGGCTTTGTGGGAGCAAGCCTCCCTCGTGCCCCCCCTTTCCCACAGCTGGCGGCAGGATCTCAGACGTGCAAGGGACTGCCGCCTGCCTCTAGTCGCTTTCGCTGACTTTTATCTGACTTGTTTATAAGGGGGTGGAGTTTGGGTGGGAGGTGGTGGTTGGGATGTCTTCGTTTTTTTAATTCGACCATCCAGGTTTCCTTTTGCGGGCCTGTACCTATCCCTTAAGCCCCGAGGCCCTTGCGGTTTTGTGAGTTTCGGCGGCCCCAGGGGAACAGCGGCCCGGCCTGCTCCTGAGCGCCCCAGCGCCCTGGGGTGGGAGGGGAACGTTCAGTCCGCTCTGCAAAGGAGCACGGTTTGCCCGGATCGCTTTGGGGCAGGTGCGTTACGCTCGCCGGGGCTACAAAAGATCTGGGGGCGGGCCCAGTCCCTGCGGGAGGCGAAGGGGGCGGGC